GAAAGGAAAGGAAATGAAAGGAAAGGATAGATAATACGTACGTACGATAGCAGCCCGGTTCTCACTCGGTGTTGGGCATGCATGCCACTTGTAGACGCCGGATCGATCGGCCGCCGCAGCTTTGGCTCTCGACATACTGCTGCTGCTCGACTGGGGAATGCTTGGACTAGACGAGCAGGGAGAGGGCTACGGAGAGGATAGTGGTGAGTTTCAAGGAAGGCATCTTTGCGGAAGGTTTTGGTTGGGTTGGGGTTTGTGGTTTGTGGTTGTTATGGGGGTTGCGGTGTTGACTGTTGTCAAGATCGCAAGAGGTGCGTGGTGGATAGGTACAATCTTCAAGGAGAAGGAGTAGAAGATAATTTTGAATTTTGTGGCGGAGCTAGTCGGTCTAACCTTTCGAAGTGGATTGAGGTGGGTGTCCTGACATTCAGCAAAAAAATCTGCATAGATGGGCTCGCTTAAAAGTCAACAAAGACAAACAAGAAGGTTCGGGAATGCTAAGAAAGTGTATTCATTCCAACTTCTGCCAAAATAAACCCCGAAATTCCTGTGAATAGTAAGCCCTCCATACTTATGCGAAAGCCAACTCAACTCAGTGTTGCGCAGGTGATACCAAGAGATGTATATAGACTGAAATCCAGGCTATTTTTCATGGGCATCCTCAATGTGCCCCATGGATAGTGGGCACTTTCGAAAAATCAAATCTGATCCAGATCAAAAATAGAATCCTCTCAATTGATTCTACAAACAAGTGCCTGACTTCTCTACTTCAAAGTGACAATCTGTATTGGTAACATTCAGTTATCCGACCCGGTCTGTCAATGGATGCTCAATCTTGCCCGGTGCCAAACCGCTCTCCTTTGCCCTACTGTGCTTACTGATCCTCTCATAGATCCGCTCCACGCAGGACGGAATCTACGATATGTATAGCCTAGGAACGCACTTGTCTTGCGAAGCTCCATGACTATTGGTGCCGTATCCTTATCTCTCAAAAGGCGGTCTCTGGGACGCTTCTTCTCCTTTTGTCCGTAAGTCCGGGCAAAATCTTTAAGGTATTCCTGTCAAGTCAGCCTATGTATGCCACCAAAATATATGGGACAATCATACCTTTTGCTCGTCTGGTATCTTGCCATGGTCTTCGACCCATCGCTCAAACTTTTTGAGCCTCAGAGAATCATGAGGAATGGTCACAAATTTGATTGCCTCGCCCTTGATTTCATTATTGAAGGATCTGAGGGCTTTCGAGATGTCCTCTGCTGTGTGGTTAAAATCGGAATTTGAATCGGAGAAATCCGATATCGGATCCTCTTCGTCCTGGATCAGGTGATTAGCAATGTCACAGAAATTTCTGAAATATTTAGAATACTTACAAAGTAGTGGGTATCATCCAAGGATTTAATATCGGGCACAAACGGCGGTATAGACGTATGGAGGCGATCCCACTGAATGTCCCGGAACCACTTATGGCTTTTGATATCTTCTGCATCGTTGGGGAAGACGTATCGGCCAGCATAGTCGTATGGGTAGATAGAGCTATCCTTAAGCCTGTATCGTCTGGAACAAAGGCGGGTTTCCTTCTCCTGGATGATGCTTCGGATGAGGTCTTGGCATCGCTTGCTGACAAGTGGCTTGTGCGGGAAAGCGAAGGTGTTTTTGTGTGCCTGTAGAAATCGATTAGACATGTGCCCAGTACGATGGTGGCACTTCGAGAACGCTTAAAAAGTTTCCAGACCCAGATCCGGATGCAAAGGATGATACTTGCAATTATATTCTGCTTCGTTTGCTGTCTTCCCCCTTCTTCGGCAAGGAAAGGCGTGTGGCCGTATAGACACTAGTAGATAATGGTCAGTTCCACAGTACGCTGTAGGTGGGGAAACATGAAGAGGGGAGGGTGATATGGGGGAGTATCACCTCGTATAGGATCACTGCGACACTCCACCAGTCGCACCGAGCGTCATAGGCATCTCCTCTCACGACTTCAGGAGCCATGTATTGGCTGGTGCCGACGACAGACCGAGCCATGGTTCTATTCCCATAGCGGTTACGCCAGTTCAAAATACCGTCAGATTCTGTGATAATGGATGAGTTTTGCTCATGTCGCTGCTCCTTTCCACCCACGGGTGCCAGGGCAAGCTTCTTCTGTAGTATGGTCTGGTCAGTAATGTTCACAAGATATTTGAACATCTGGAAGCAAGAAAAGGCTTCCCGAGTACTCACTGAGGAATCCAGGTCCCCCTGAATGTCCAGTTTATCACCAGCAACATCTATGCCTAATTTTGCCAGGAGAGAATATCGATGGTTGTTGAAGTAGGCCTGGTCGTGTGACCAGTGCCCATCGAAAGCAAGGCCAAAATCGGAGATTTTCAAATGCCCTGAAGCAGAAATGAGGAAATTGTCTGGCTTCACATCACGGTGGATCCAGCGGAGGGCATGAGCCTCTTCGATGCACAGGATCATCTCCGCAATATACCACTTTGTGACAGCTTCAGATAGGACATTGTCGCGGATTAAAAGTCCCAGAAAGTCACCTCCCGGCATGTAATCCATGACCAAGTACAAATTGTGAAGGTCTTGGAAGCTTGCGATGAGAGGGACGACCCTGAATGATTTTAGACTCTTGAATGTGTCGAAGGGGGCTGGGAACATTGAGAATTCATTACCAACGAGATCCTTCAGCGGATACCAGGAAGTCTCGCTCGGCCCGAAGATGGCCCTCCTGGCTGTTGCGGAGCATATCGGACTTTCTGATGACCTTCATGGCATAGATTTCTCGTCTAACACCTGGCTCAGTGGTGGGACTACGGATTCTGGTAAGCAAGCGTGAATACACTGTGCCCAAGGAGACTGGGAACTTGTGGCATCTAATTTGCGCCAAGGGCACTGGGAAGATGGGAAAAAGGATCTTACCTATTTTCCTCTTTCTCTCGGACTAGGCGGACGACGCCAAAACTACCTTTACCCAGGACCTTGACGACCTCATAGCGAGAGGTAGTAATGTCCTTACCTTCTCTGAGAGCATTGCCTGCGCGGGCTTTCATTACACGGGTCTCTCGTAGATGATCGCTTTCATCCTTGGCCCAGGCACGCCGGTACTCTGCTTGTTCAGCGGGGGACAGATTAGCCTGCTCGTGATATAGCACGGCTTCCAGCTGGCGTCTACGCATCGAGCGAGGAGTTAAAGCACCCGAGATTACCTGGTTGTAGTGGGTTTCGAAGAACACTTTCGCTGCGGCGGCCCTCTCTACAGTGATGATAGCTGGGCAGGTCAGCAAAGGGTTCAGGATGAATAGGGAACATTGAAAATTTCACGTCGTAGGGCGATGGACGGTGTCCGGGAAGGGAGGTGACAAATTTAACTTTTTAATGTGCCCAGTATGAATGAGGAGCATTGAAATGAAAGGGATATCTGAAGCCGGTGTATGGTCCGACCAGGTTGATGTAGCCCTTCTGAGATACACTCAACAGATATGGGGAGCATTGGAAATTTAGAGCTTGGGTCAATCGAGGGCACCCAGCAAAGATAGTGGCAAAAGGGACTCATACAATTTGCGCATTAGGAATGGGAAACTTTGAAATCGAGTGAGGATCTGAAACTGGCTGCCGATGCTGGCAGGGTGGTGTAGGGCTTTTGCAATGAACCCACTAGGCACCGCGAAGATTGGAAAAGGAGGGAGCGCTTACTCGGTGCGGGTTCCGGGGTCTCCAAGCTCTCCACAATGGGTGCGAGAAGCACCGGATGCTCATTTGAGCCTCCACAGTCACCCGTTGGCTGCTTGATGACAACCTTTTTATTCTCTGACGAATGTTGCGAGATCATCTTGTACTTTTGCGACGAGAGCTTTGAGTCGAGAGACGTTTTGCTCGTCGATTCCCCAGGCCTAGGGACGGAAGACTTGCCACTATTACTGCGTGATTCAGTGCTGGTGGAAGGAGTGCCCTCCGGTGTTACATCGGTGGCACCTTTGTCAATCGAGATCAGGCTGGGGCGATTGTTGAATTGAGTACGATGAACGACCGTTGGCTCCAACTGGCACTTGAGGATTACTGCCGAGAGTCTCCGGGCAGGAGAGCTGACTGGGGACGGTGGCGCCTCTGCCATGGATGCATTGGAAACTGCAGGTTGGTCAGTAGATGGTTGAGTACGCGCCAGGGATAGAACCACCGCTGTTTCTGAATGACTTCAAAGCCGTGAGTAGCTTTGAACCATGTCTGCGGAGCTTCGAAGGTCGGTCCATGCTGCCAGGAGACTCAGGGGATGCTGGGGGGGTCATCATCAAGTCATATGCACTCGGGATTCTTTTGATCGTTCCCTGCTCTGATGGTGGATCAAGAGCGTCTCCATCGGGCGTCTCCGACTGTATATGGCCGGTAAAGCTGTATGTGCGCTTCATGTTTGGAGCGGAGCGGTTGACGGTGCTGCGCGGAGTTGATGGTGGAAGAAGTAATGATACTGAGGCAAAGTTGATCGATTGGATGCTTTGCGATGATGGAAATGATGCAAATGATGATGTTGATGATGATGATGATGGATGGGATTTTGGAAACGGTCAGAAGAGGGAGTTCGTTGCAAGGGCGTTTATCAGTGCTTACTTACCATCAGCGTGCCTGCCCTTCTGAGAATTCCAATATGTACGGCAAGCACGGTCAGGGAGCATCTGCCCGCCAGTACTCAACGTTCGAACCTTGCTCATGGGCGATTTGGAAGAGAAAGCTGCAAGTCCAATACTCGGAATAGTGCTACTGGCCTAAAACCCAAATACTTCTCCCAAGGTCTTTGACACTCACTCACAGCGGCGAATCAAGAATATAGGCTATTTCTTATGTTTTGAAAACCTAAGCACTGTTCCACAACTTGTGGAACATACACAATCAATTTTTGACGCCTTAGGATGTATGCCATCTCCTCATCCCAGGCCACACATGTGCCTCCCGTCCCATGAGACACTTCGACACAACAGCGTGGGTCGGAGAAAAGCGCAGGAAGCATTATAGCCCGGTATTTTGAGACATAGGACAAGGAAATAAAGAGATGTGTATCAGACATTGTACAGATGAGAGGATTCGACACGCCAGAGCTTCGGCTCAATCAATCAGAAAGCAGTCAAGAAAGAGCCACGTAACCAATTCGCGAACAAGGCTTACTTCGAATCCAGCAACTTGATGTCGAAGATAAGGGTGCTGTTTCCGGGAATCCCGGGCACCCCTTTACTGCCATACGCAAGGTTGGCCGGGATGGTCAGTCTGCGCTCGCCGCCGACTTGCATACCAGCAACACCAATGTCCCATCCCTTGATGACCTCGCCGGTACCAAGCTTGAAGGAGAAGGGCTTGCCGCTCTTGTTTGCTGTCGCAATATCAGTATTGGTATCGTATGAATGGATGTTCCACTTACAGTCAAAGACCTTTCCGTTCTCGAGCTTGCCGATGTAACGCATAGCGACCTTGTTACCCTTCTTGCAGGCTGGACCGGAACCAAGCTTCTTGTCGTCGATCTTGACACCGTTGACCATCTTGACGCCCAATGTGGCCTTGCCCTTACTTTCCTTAGTCTCGACAGCAGCGGGTTTGGCCTTCTCGGCGGATCCAGTTGGACCTTGAACCAGATTCTTGGCGAATTGGACCTTCTTGTCGGTGATATCAGACTTGACAGCGGGACTGTCTGCCTTTGGGGCCTCATCCGCCTTGGCTGGAACAGCCTCTCCATTGTTCTTCTTCAGCTTCTTCAGTTGCTTCTTGCTGAGCTTCTTCTCCTCGGGAGCTCCGTCCTTGAGGCTCTTGGCCATGATGTCGTCGAGCGAGGCACCCTCTTCAATATCATCAGCAGAGCGCTTGTTCTTGCCCTTCTTGTCGGCAGAGACAAGCTTTGGGGCTTCATCCTCAGACTCGACCTCGGTAATACGCGGGTTCTCAAGAGTATCCAATTCATCACTCTCATCGTCATCCATCCCAATATCGAGCTCATCCTCATCAGGAGACAGGTCATATTCGTCTTCGTCGCCTTCCTCGGAATCGTAGACCTCGTGGTGGTGGTTGTGTCCATCATCCTGGGGAACAACGTAGTTGCCAGTGAGGTAGATTGTGTGGGTACCGGAAACCTTGAAGAAGACGCGTTCGTTCTCGCCGATGGTGATGTCAAGTGGTTGTTGGAAGTTCTGTGGTCATCTTGTTAGCCTTTCTGCAAGTGATGTGCTCTTGTGAATACCACATACCTTCTCTAGGTCAAGTGTGCAGAGAACAAACTCCTCGACTTCGATGTCCTCGGAATCTTCATCGCTGTCCTCATCGGATAGCTCCTCCTCTTCACCGGTAGCCTTGGCCTTTCCCTTCTTGCTGGCCTTGCCATTGGGGGCATCCTTCATCTCCTCGTCAGACTCGGCGTTCTCCAGCGTATCCATGAGCTGCTTGAGGGCAGCAGCCTTGCGGGCCTTCTTTGACTTGGCTGGATCACTTGGGCCACCGTTCGCCTCCTCATCTGACTCGCTCTCCTCTTCAGAGTCGTCGCTGGCCAACAGAGCGCGCATATACTCCTCAGAATCTTCGTCTTCCTCGGAACCCTCTTGGCGGATGAGCTTCAAGGTCGCGCGGGGAGGGCCACCTTTGGCGATCCCCTTGGCATCGGCGATCTCGCTAGGGTCGATGGCAGCCATTGTAATGCGAAACTAAGGGTTGTGAATTCAGCTTGGAATATTTTGGATTTCGAGTTCTGCCCCCGCGAACTTTCCGTGGAGGACCAGGCGGCTGCATGAAGAGCTTGCGGAGACTTACGGTAGCAGGGAATTCTGCAATAGCAGGGACGATGATGTCTCCTGGAGGGACCTGAAGGCCATAGGTAGCGACTATTGTTGATGTCAGATTGTCCTGACCGAGTTGGATGAATACAGGGCGCAATGCGACCTACCTGGAATAAGTACCATCTTGACTGGTTGGTGATGATTCCTGGTAGAAATTAAGTTGTGAGAAGAAGCGCGTCTGATTGACGACTCTGATTGCAGGTATCTTGTTGTAGAAGACAAGATTCTCGATGTTTGAAGAAGAGGAAGAGCGGTGTCGTGCGGAAGAAGTTCTGAAGGGAAGAACTTCAGCACTTAGATGGATTTTTTTTCGATGGCGCTAGCGGCCGATAGCCTTATCTTAGCGCAACATCCGCCCAGCAACGCGATACGGACGGACTTGGAGGTCACGCTTCTACTGTACATACGGGGGACCGAAGACTCGATCACAATGTATTCGGTTGCTTAGGTATAACTCCAACTAAGGATGGCTCTATGACTTTCACCTCTCTCTCCCGCTCTCGATATTTCTCGCTCTCTCTCCAAGAATCATTCGCTCATTGCCTTCAGGATCTGCCACAGCCACCAGCCCATCAACCTCGGAAATACCTCCCATCTTGAAAATCAGCTATGGATCACAGTTGGCACTACGTACTGCTAACAGTGCGCCTTTTCACCTTAAGGCAAGCTGTTGGCTACTCTGGTAGTGCATGGGTTCCTAAGCGCCACTGGGCTTCTTATAGAGTACCAGAAAGATGGAAGTTTCGGTCACGATGACGATTACATTACATCAAGAACAGAAACACGTGGGAGAACGCAAGAACAAATTTTTATGTTATCACAGGTATGAACTTGTCGAGCTTGATTATCGTCAAGGACCAGTCATTTGAATAAATCAGTATGACGGCTCCGTGGAGAAAACCTCCTGAAGGTCTTGCCGACTCTTCGACGGACCATACAGGATTTCGGTTATGGGACCATCCTCAAAGAGCACAGCAAGATCTTGATTATCCCCGATCCATTCTTCGGTACGTGAGTATCGACTCCTCCGGTGGTTACTTGCTACTCCGGAATTGCAAAGATCAGTCCTGCAATTTCGTGATTGCCCTGGACATCTAACAACTTCAATGACCCGAATCGATGGAATATGCTCAGTGCCAGTAGCTCGCCTCATACTCTGGCTAGCCACAGAAATGTGATGCCAACAGCTGGAAGGTCAAGCGAATATAGTAAATGCAGAATGTTGCTTTTACAGTCACCTCCAACTGCTAATCGTCGGCTTGCTTAGGTGGGCCTCACTTACATCCTTTCAGTCTTAAATCAATGCGTAAAACCTTTATTTCGCACCAGAACTCTTTACATTTGACAGCTTAAACTTTCTACAATCACAAGCTTTGAAAGGCAAATAAAAACTATAAACCTTTTAGTAACAAGAGATAGCTTATAAGTAAGCATAAGACGATTTTGTTTTACATTCATTATTTAACAGAGTTCATTAATGTGGTCATACAGAAAGTTGGATTTCGCATAAATTTGGAAGAAGTCTCACAAAAAGAGCGACTTCAGCTTAATCTTTTGTATCTGGGTCTATTAACAAGCAGATTCAAGCTTGACGGTTTTAATTGACTACTTCCCCGAAGATAGAATTAGCAAACACCGGCTAAAGTCATTTTTTTTTAGAAGTGTTGACCCTTAGTTTTGGTGCGAGAAGTGGTTTTATGCATTAGCAATTACCTAGTACTGTACCTCTGTCGGCCTACTTTCGATTGAATGTAGCAGGCCCTACAGCAGCTCTTCAAGCACCTCCATCTCTTTCAGCAAGCCGTACGCCACTGGGATCATCATCATTGCTCCTCAATCAATGAGCTAACAACCAAGTCCCATCGTTCCTCCCCAGCCGACAACCACCGTTACTTACTCCTGTCCCGAGCCAAGGGACGCAGATCAGCTCAGTTGTTTGTGTAAAGACAACTAAAGGAGTAAGTCTTCGATGAAGCAGGATTGGCATGGATTCATCGTACAACGTTTAGAGAGGCTTGGATTCTTTTTGTTGCATTCAGCATTGATCATTTCATCGCCTTTCGGGCTGTATAGACTGCGGAAAGCAGCAAGTACGGCGCAATGAGCATATAGCTTTTAATTTCTCCCGAATCTTCCCATCTTATCTTTTCTGGAAACGCGTATTAAGATGTTTTTCCTCATAAGTTGCTTCTCTAATTTATTTCAGATTAGTTGTTTGTGACACGTCGTTATACCCTTAGTGAGGTCGTAAGTCGGACTCTTGAAAGAATGGCTATAGACGTTGAAACAATCATCATCATCATCATCATCATCATCCCTAACTAATTTAATTACCAAACCATACCCAAGCTAGATTTAGCCGGATCCTGGCTACGACACTAACAGATCCACTCAGAATCATCCCCCAACCCTCTCGCTCAAGCTCTTGAAGCCCTCCCCAACATGTCTACACACAGCTCCCGCAAAACCACTCTCCTCCCCTTCTTCTCCCAGCCCCAAAGCCCCAATCTTCCAGCAAACCGCAATGCTCATATTTCCTTCTATACAGCTCACAGCATTAAATGTCAGAGGTGGACCACCTGTCAGATCAGCCGGCTAGCAGAACACCATCTCCTCTTCCTTACAACGCCCCACGCTCTCAGAGGGCCGCAACGAAACAATATTTCTCGCTTCATATGAACCTTCACTCCTGGCACCGAGCTTAGAAATCATCCAAGAATATACGCTCCTCAAGTATCTCAGGAGTCCAGTGGGTTGGTCGTGCAGCTGCCGCGCTCTGGCTGCTAGGCGCACCGTGATCGCCTTTGCCAGGTCCCAGGACGAGGCCGCTTGGTGGTTCCCTGGGTGGGTTTTCTGCAGCGAGAACGTTTGGAAGTCTACAGAGACAAAGAGACCCATCTCGTCGTCTGAGATACCCACTGGTCCTCGCATATTGATGGCTGTGCCGGACCCGAAGCTATCGACGCCAACCGATTCTGGTAAACACCCTGACAGAGCGTTGATGATGAGTTGGTGCAGCAGCCCTGTCAGCTTGGCCCCTTTATCCGGCACAGTTTCACTGCATCTTGAAGCACGTGTGCATCGACAGTCAATATCTCAACGCCGGTTTCGTAAGTCCCGGCGTCGTCAAATAGCGGTGCACCGGTCCACGTCCCGGGTCCGATGGAATGTACGCCAGAGACAAACCCACAGAGCGAAGCGAGCCATTTGGGCAGGTACATGTCTAGCATTGGCCCTAGGAGAAAAGACCAGGATATGGGTACATTCTTGGCTGTGTCGAATTGCGGGTTGAACGGTTTGCGAATCGGGTAGTTGGTGAGCTCCGTTACTGCATGGGGGGTTTGGAGAGCAGCGAGGAAGGACCTGGTGAATGCCAGTCCAGACATGCCGTCGCCAATTGCATGGTAAGCACGAGAACCCTATGAAACACCTCCGGCCCGAAAATGGCAAGATAAATACCTTCCACGGTGGCGTCGAAGGTGGCCACTCTGCATCTAGGATGCTCGGGAGGCTCGTTGTACGGCTCTGGTCTCGCTCTCGCTCTCGCTGTCTGGGTCGTTGTGAGCGAGGATCTGGATGTGCTTACGGAGATATAGATGGGGACAGAAGGCGTAGTACGAAAGACTCGGTGTCTGCTTTTGAGACAGTGACGCTTAGCTGTGGATGCCGGTCTATACACTGTTGCAGAGCGTAGGTGTATGTGAAGATGGAATCTGTGTCTACTGTCGAGGTAAACTCGAAGATGCCGCCCACGACAAGGGCACGGGAAAATCCGTAGGGTTCCCGAACAATGCATTGTTTGGCCCTGATGGGAATGTCAACAAATCACTTCAAGCCACTTGGAACGGAAAGAAAGCGCTTACTTGCGGAGCGCAAAACCTGCTCGTCGGCAGGGTCAGATGCAAACGGCCACATTTTGGAGAATGCTTATTTTAGGGCGTGTTTGATAGCCTCCAATTCTGCGATTTGGAGCTTTGATTCGCAATCGGCAGGAGTGATTATTTGGTGTTTGGTAACTAACCCATGTGATTATTATCATGATCACGATTTTTGCGGACACCACTAGAATTGTGAATCCCCGGAGATCGCAGAAAATCGAGTGATCTCAAGAGATTGATTTGTTTCTCCGAAAATAAATCTCAAATCCCTTCTCCACAATATCTCTTCTTGACGCAATCGAGGTTTCAAATCTATCCCAATTTTTAACCACTACCGCTGAACCTAGCTTCAAACCTTGCTACTTAAAGCTCAAAGCTTGAAAAGGTTGTATACGGAGTACGGAGTAAGCGTTCGCTCCTTTCGCTAAATCATAGATACGTAGTAGCTAGGTATGGAACCTTAAGATACCCTCAATCTTCGGGCTGATTTTGAGCATGACAAACGAGGGTTTCGATATTATAAAACAAGTGCAAAGAATACTGAAAATGCGATTGTTCTTTTGATATTTGCGAATAGCTACTACGATTATTTTATGTAAAAGCTTCGCTGACTTGCTAACTGGTTGATATCAAAGGATAAGTTACCCTTCTACACTTGAAATAGATCGGCGGCTATAGCAGATCCACGGCATTACTAAATTTATGTGCCGGCAAAAATCGCAATCGCAAACGCACGAGGGGGATTTACGGAGGTTACCAAACGGAAATCTATTTTCAAAGAGGAAATAAAATCAAGGGAGATTACGATTCACGGCGATTCGATCGTCTTCGATTCTAGAACGTGGATTTGTGGCACGAGGCCAGCGGATTGCAAAGTGTTATTATGTCTGATACAAATAATAGTGGGCCTTGACGTCGCAACTTTTGGGGCCCTTCCTTAAAGTGGGCGAAAAAATTATGTCCCGCGAAAAAATTATGTCCCGCTTCAACGCCAAAAATCGCGAGGAACGTAGACACTTCAACAACACTTCAACACAACATTTTCCATCAAACATTGACCTACGTACCCAAATAAAAATGGGCAAAAAACGCGCGCGCGCTCTTGCACCTCTTGATCTTAATTCTGAATACCAGAAGCTCTTAAAAGCTTCTTAATATGAGCGAATATAGCTAGCATTCGAATAGCTCTTCGAAAACCTTTCCGAAACACCTTTTACTGCGAGTCGCATTCATATGATAGAGAAGCCTGATACTTTAAAGCGAAGATGGAATAGGTATCAAGCTAAACAAGCTCGATTGAAAGAGGGGAAAGCGCTACAAGTAGGGAGGCTTATGGTTCTATCAGCAGCACAGCACAAAGCTGTTTTAATCTACGCCGCAAATCAAGCAACTAAAGGAGGGAAAGGAGCTATTAAGCGTATGCTTTATCGATGCATTTGCTACCTTAAAATACAAGAAAATAAGCCAGAACCTTCTTGGCGTTGGTTTCAATCTTGGTTGAGAAATACAACAGAACTCTATGCTATACGGACCAAACCAATCGCATCTCATCGCGTCGATATGCATATTGAGAAATCTCTTTCCAACTGGTTCTATACCGAGCTTGTTCTTGTTATCTAGTTCTGCGGAATTGGGCTTAAAGATAGGCATAGAATCGCAAATATAGATGAGAAAGGCGCGCGGATTTGTATGCCGGCCGAAAAAGAAGTTATCGTACCTATCGGAATCAAAGAGATGTATACAGGAATCTGTGAAAATCGACTATCCGTAACTGTGATCGAAGCTATTCTTGCCGATAGAAAAGCTATTCCTCTAATGATTATTGTGCTCGGAAAGCAAATTATAGCATCTTGGTTTTCCGAAAAGATGACTAGACATGAAGTTGTCACTGTTTCCGAATCCGGTTATACGAACGATAGGATTACTATAGAGTGGCTTAAGCACTTTATTAAGCATACCGATCAAGGACCCGATAAACCGTAGATGATATTATTACTTGATAGTCAGCTTTGCTACGAAGCTTTAAATTTCATTCTACTAGCCAAACAAAATCGTATATGGCTTATCAAATTCCTTTCTCATCAAACTTATCTTTTACAACCTCTCGATGTCGGCTGCTTTCGCACTTGGAAACATAATCAACAATATGCTATCATGGATGCTATTCGAGGCTTCGAAGCTGAATATACTATCTCATCGTTTATGCGAGACCTTCTTTAAATTCGCGAGCAAACCTTTACAACTCGGAATATCAAACACGCTTTTCGAGATGCAAGAATGTGGCCGATCAGCTTTTCTCAAATTCAACGCAAATTGAAAGAGTATAGTAAAAAGAGTAAGAAAGAGGCGGGATTGCATATACTCGAGTACGGAGAAACGTTTGATCTTGAAGAAGATAAATATTCTTTTTCAATCGATAAGCAACCTGACGAATTACCTCTTCTTGCGCTACCTCGACCTCCTTAATCTTTTCAAGATTGCGTAGAGCAACTCGACGATCTGAACGATAAGATCAGAATAGCTCTTTCTTCTCTTAGCCGCCAACGCTTCGATATCGCGAAACAAAGTACCGAGACTTGGTTGTTACGAGGAAGCCTTGATCAAGCAGAACTCGATAAAAATCAAAAGCTTCAGCGCGATACACATCGGAAAAAGCTGATTGGAAGGTCGAGTTTGCAAACGGGAGGGAATATACTAGCTTCTAAAGCACTCGAAAAAGTCAAGGCTATAAAGATAAAAAAGCAAGAAGCTAGTTTTAAGATAGCGAACGCTAAACTCAAGTCAGCAACGATTAAAATTCGAAACGATCGTTATAATCAAGGAGTTCTTGATCGGAAAGCCGAAAAAGAGCGAAAGAAATGGTTGAACGAAGCGTATAAGCAACAAGGTCGAGGGATTCCTATACACATTCCACCCGAACGAGAAGTCCTTATTCGAGACCGCGAAAAGCAACCTACAGTAGAAGAACTAGAAGCTGATAATATTGATTTGATTTCTTTTCGAGACGCAGTTGCAAACGAAGAAGCTGCGTTAAAAGAAGTTTAAGAAAGAGATCTTGCTACATTCGCGGACCCTTCGTATTTAATCGATCCTTAAATCCTTACAGAGGAAAAACGCTTTCGAATCAGACAAAACCTATTATCTTGCATTTAAATTAGCGATGACGACGAAGATGAAAGATTAAATACCTTACCTTCGTCTCCTTTAGCAAAAATGATGCTTACTAGGTGGGAAGAGCCTGAAAAAGAGCTTGAAGAGAAAGAAGATTCGATATCGATTCGATCTGTAGCATCTCTTAATTCAATTCAAGGGACACGCGGTGAAATAATTTTTTCGTAGCTTAATTGAGAATGAATAACATTATTAAATATATATATATATATATTATTGCAACGTTATAAGCAATGTTATGAGCAATATAAGTGTCTACGTTCCCCGCGATTTTTGGCGTTGAAGCGGGACATAATTTTTTCGCGGGACATAATTTTTTCGCCCACTTTAGGGAAGGGCCCCAAAAGTTGCGACGTCAAGGCCCACTATTATCAGAACACGTGGTACAGCAAGCAAACATAAATAGAGAAAACTCTTCCGGCCACTTCTATGCATGTGCTCGAGCAGCCAGCATGTCTGTCAACGTGTTGTCGAAAATACTAATCAGAGTCTGAAAAGATCGACGCATGGGAACAGATATGCTGGCCACCCCGCACGAATGTACGTCGATAAGGCAAGCTGTCAGCTGCTCTCCGTCGCACGGGATCGTGTAATATTTTATAATAGAATATAAAACAGAGGAGGCCGATATCCAACCCGAGTCGGCCCGTGCTACTGCAGCTTCTCGGTTTCGACTTCCGGCTGGCTCGCTTAGAATCAGGGGCTCCGCTCGCTTCTCCAATGTTTTGTTGACATTGGCAAAACTTTCCCGTCATTGAAGATGAGTGGATGTAACGTAGCGTAACGACTGCGGAAAGCGGGAAAGAAACGAGCATCTCCCTGGAAGCTGAAAGGGCTGGTAGATTTTGATGACACGTCACACTTCAAAAACCCAATAGCAAGCAATACTCCTTCCTGCCTGGAAGCTACCTAGCCTGGTTTCCGAGAAGGACTGAAATGTTGTGTATACGGAGATCCGAAGCTGCGCTAGAATACGTCAAGCTGTTCGCGGGGGAATACAATTTGGCGGCTCTTCAGACATGGGTTGCTGACATCCTCATACCTTATGTGAAGTACCTATGCTCCCAGAGGCCTCTCCGACCAAGATGGATACCTAACTTGTAACTCTGGGCTTTCCATGCAACGTGCTCCCTTTCTCGGTTACCCCTTCTGTGGTGTTTGCTATCGTCTGCATGCAGCTTCCCGGCGCAGGCACCAAGAACCTCTTCACCACAAATCTCTTCAGCTGTTCCCAGGGATTTTCCCTACCATCACGGTCGTTCATCCCATTGTTCTAATCCTCTGCTTTTTGACATCCAGCCCGAGCGGACAATAGATCCGTCTCTCTTCATCGCATTCAGCCCCACGCAGCCTCAGCTTTCAGCACAGCCGAGGTAGCGCTGAAACTGGTGCAGGGGTCCGCCCTCGGTATCCGTGCTGTTTCTTCTCCATCTTTAGAACCTTTAGAACACCATCCCGGCCCCCACCATCCGAATCACCACCACCACCACCACAACCAAAGCCCCAACCTAAACCGCGCCCACAATCACAACTCCTCCTCAATCTCAATCTCAGTCTGAATTGGAATCTCAACTTCCACGCTCAACCCTCAATGGCGCTCCTCGCCTTCCCAGCTCTTCTCCTCGCCCTCCTCCTCGCCCTCCTAGGCCCGGCGCAAGCCGAGGCAGCAAACATAACCATTACCCCCGAAACATCCGCCAATGCCACCATCTCCGAGGGCAACAGCCAGTACGAGTACCACGGGTGCTACGAAGAGAGCGGGCTGGGCAACAATGCGACGAACGGAATGCGAGCTCTGAGCTCGGGGAAGATGGAGAGTCGGGACGACATGACGGTCGAGGTGTGTCTGAACTACTGTGCCGACGGCGGGTGGGCGTTCGCGGGCCTGCAGTACACGAAGTACGTCCACTTCTACATCCTCCTCCCCACCTCTCCTCTCCTCGGTTTCCTTTGCTCCCCCATCGTATCGTGTTTACTTTGGAATTGATTGGATTCCGGGTTTTGGCGGCGCTATGCCATGCTGCGCTACACCGGGTCTCGGGCGGCCAGAAGTAAACAAACCAAAACAAGACAATACAAAACGAGACAATCATTATACAAAAACAGAAATAGCTGACAAGCTCCACTTACAGAGAATGCTACTGCGCGCCCCTCATCTCCTCCGTCGCCACTAAGCGCGACGATAGCGCCTGCGACCTGGCGTGCGCAGGGAACACGTCGGAGTTCTGCGGCGGCGCCCTCAAGCTTTCCGTATATCAGATGTCGAGCAACAGCGAGGGCGCCGGAACGAAGGCGGTGGGCCACGCGCCCGTGAGCAGCATCCTGGCCCTGGGGGTTGCGATGGGGGTTCTGCTGTGTCTGGCCTGATGATGCGATGAGCTGCTGCGAAGCAGAGGGAACGAGTAATGTTTTGATACGAGGCTTATATGACCATTACGAAGCAAGGACGAGCGTATAGTGTATATGACCATTACGACGCAAGGAAAAAGGCGTATATTGCTACGTTGGATGACGGGTTTGCATAAGGAAGCATTGTAGGATTGGATGCGGCGCATACGACGGATGGGTATTGCATATACAAAAAATGAGCGTGCACTAGAAGGTTTATTTGGAGTTCCGAGTCCTACATGTTAGCTTGCGTACCTTCTGCTTCTTTGCTGGAGATGTTCAGGATTGTTTTCGATAGACACTAGACCAGGCGTTTGCTGATGAGCACAGACCGCGCTGTATTTGTAGGTATAGGTAGATAGGATAAACAGTACTTATTGTACAGGTATTAGCGAATCCATCTGACGACTATTACACTACAACTCCAACCTCCCCAACCCACGCTCCTTCACCGCATCCTGCACTTTCTCCTTGATACCTTCCAACGCCATCCCCCAAACCCTCGTCCCTTCATTGCCCTCATCAGACTCATCAAGCAGCCACTGCATCCACTTCACCACGGCAACCACCTTTGCCATGTCCCTCTCATCCAGCACCACTCTCCTCAAATACCTCTCCATAGCAGCCACATCATCCGGATGCGGCCCGTCATCCGCAAACTCCTGGTACCACGCGCTCAGCGTACTGCGGAGCTCAGGCAGCGTACTCAGTTCCCGCGTGGTGAACGTCGGGCGCGGCTCCCGCGGGGGGAGCCGGATCTTGCGCTGAACGGCCGGTAGATCTGGCGGCCGCCGTTTCTTGACCGGTACGGTAGTCATGAGACCGCCTTTCTTAGCAAGCCTCTTGCGCCGGTGCTCGTTCATGACTTCTTGGCGCATCTCCTCTGGCAAGGCCGACAGGAACTCCGGGTCTAGCGTATCGGACGCGTAGCCATCCGATTCTGCTGGCGGGTCTCGGGTGTTGAGAGCGCTGCCTTTGTGGGCGACGAAATTGGCTTGGGTGAGGTGGGAGTCCTTGTCTGGTTTGATGATGCGGGGAGCATTTCGAGATCCGGGTGGGCGGCCACGGCCACGTTTCTTCGTGGGCGTGGTTCGCTTGGGAGGGATGATGTGGAGGCCTTTGCGTGGGGACTGGGGGAGGAGGCCTTGCTGGACCTGGACGGGCATGGAGCGGCCTCCGTAAGACGCGAGGACCTCGGCCTTCACGTCCTCGGGCAGAGCATCGAATACCTCTGGATCCAATTGGGAAGGCAGATGTTGCACGTCTTCTACAAAAGGGCTGTTCGATCTCGACTTGAGAGTGGGGGACTGAGCTCTTGCTATTGGCTTATTCTTGCTTTGAGCCATGAGTTTTGACCTGATGTCTTGCGGAAGCTCTGACAGAACTCTGGGGTCGATCTGACTAGGGATGATGAATTGAGTACCCATGACATTGAGCACCTTTGTAGCACTTTGATCTGCAGCATTGGCTCTAGCAATGGCAGCTGCAGGATGTATTGCCTGAGGAGTGCCTTTTTCTTTTTTGGGGCTGTCAATATCATCGATAGGATCAACGTTGAACAGTAGTCTACCAGAAATCGGCTTTGACTTTGTAGGAGTGATCGCCTCGTCAATCGGGTCCTCAGATGCCTTTCTGCCAGATATATTATAGCTCGCAGGTGTCGCTCTTGCCTTCGTGGGTGTTTGCGGGTCATCGATGGGATCATCGTTGATTTGCTTTCCCAGCTTTGGTGCTGCGGCACCCCAGTTGATCCTCCTCTGGCTACCATCTGGTAGAGATGTGTTCGAAGGTTTCAGCAGTTCGAGCTTTGTCATCTGAACCCCCAAACCCCGAAGCTCACCAGGTGAGAACCCATAGCTTCGCAGCACTGATATCGCTTCTCGCCCAATGACTTCGGCGCTGTTTGTTGCGACTCCTAAAACAATACTCTTGTTGAAGGTATCGCATTTCCCGTGGCCCAAGTTCTTCGGGGGGTCCATCGGAGCATCGGCCGACTTTCTCATGATCTTCATTGTAAATTGTCTTCCCTTCACGCCTTCATTGATGAGACGTCGTTGTAACTCCTTGCACAGATTCAGAACAAATTCCTCAGCTTCCGGCTGAGAAATGAATCTAATGCCCCAGTTGACCTCCGCAGATACTGACTTACGGACGGTTTGCTCTCCAACTTCAGTCCGGTCAATACCTCGTGAGTAATCCCATATCTTCTCTCCGGTTCTTGGGCCGAGTACTGTCATCAGACGATCTTTCGTCAATTGGCGGACATCCTTGACGAAGTTCACTCCAATCTCCGCAAGTTTCCCTCCTATACTGTAGGCCACGCCGGGCAGATCTTGCACAGTAAGCTCGCCGATGAAGTCTAGCACCTCCTCGGGCCTGATCTGATGCTGACCTGCTGGTTTGGCCTTCCTTAGAGCCACCTTGGCTAGCAAAATGTTCCCTCCGATTCCCACCGAGACTGCACAGCCAGTAACTTCTTTGATCCGCTTCCGAAGGGTGTCTGCAATCTGGTCTGCTTTCTCTTGCTCCCTCAAAATGCTGCCTCCTTGGATGCCGAGGCTTTCAGTACCGCCTGTAGGTATACAGAGACTTGTGATATCGACTAGTGCTTCGTCTATACTAACACTCTGAACGGTACCACCAACGCCTATGATGGTCTCATAGAACCCTCTGCTTGCCGCTTCATATGCTGGGAAGTCGTAAGGTAAAACCTTGATACTTGAGCATAGTTCCTGGGCCTTCTTCATCCACATGCCGTTTTTGATGCCGAAGGCCCTTGCCGGATAATTACAGCTTGCAATCTCACTGCCACTTCCACTACCATGTGCAACAACGGCAGGTTTGTCGACATACTCTGGTGCACTTTTGAGAGAAACAGCACAGAAGAAGCTGTCAAAGTCAACATGCATGATATATCGCCGATCACCCGGCTTTCTTTTTGGGAGCTGCCTTTGAGAGGCTGATTTCTCAGCTGCCATTTGCTGAAAGCGGGATTTGAGATCAGCTTTCCAAGTGGACAAGTGATGTAAACGTGATTCAGCGTAGTACTGCTTAAGGAATTCTGGGTTTGCGGTTGACGATTTCCTCATATGCGGGTCAGCTAGTAATAAAGCGTTGTGCTCCTCAGCCGTGATGACTTTAGATTTCTTGGAAGGAGATGGACTCTCAATTTCGTGTGGCCTCTTCAGTAGGTTAAAAGGTCTTGACTTCGTAGGCGTGATTGATCCTGGAAGTTCTCCTTCCTGGATGTTTTCAACAACGATTTCTGAGGGCTGTGGAGTTGCGCTGCGATCTTCGATTCCGACTTTATCCTCGCTCCTGGGGGCTTCAGAACGCCCAGCTGCATCGCCTATGGCAGCCGTTTTTAAGGCATCCTCTAGAGACGAGGATACCTCAAAGTCTCCAGAAGACTCGGGAATTTCCTCAGGGGCGGAGCCCTTGCCTTTCGCAGGGCTCTTCCGAACATGCTTATTCTGTGATGCCGAATCTCTCATGAATTCCCCAATCCCGTCAAATGCGACCTTTTGGGTGCTTGGAGACTGAGCGCCATCCTCGTCATCAATGTCGTCGACAACTGACTTGACTTGGCTCGTATACCAACTGGTATTGGTTTGGTCTCTGTAGCCACGTTGCTGCGTGTTCACCTGACTGACCATCTTCCCATCATCAAACCTCAAGATTCGTTGCCCCAAACCTTCCTCAATGACGCGGTAGGCATCCCAAGGCAATACTTTCCCTGCAGCTACAGAGTCCACGATCCATGCCGGTTTCACGATACGATACCTCCGGAACTCGATAGCTTTCTTAGGCGTAAGACTTGCAGCGATGATATGCGTAACGGTGGTCTTTCCATCCAAATACTGCATGAATCCACCCCCATGGCTGACGATGAGCTTATGGAGATCGTTCAGCGACGGCTGGGTGTAGCCATTTACGTGGACCACGATGCCCTTGAAGATTTGAGGCTTATCAGCAGATTCTGACCGTAACTCCGCATCGAGATTCTGCAGCTTGATCCTCTTGCGTCGGAAATATTCCGGGAATCCTCCAAACTTCGAGCCCTCATACTCGTCGCCGTCTTCGTTGTCAAACGAGTGCGCCTCGATCCTTTTTCTCACCGAATCCGAGTTCTTCTCCAACCTGCTTCCCATAATTCGGTTCTTCTCCCTTCATTGAATTCCCATGGTGGGGATGCTATCTCAGGATCATGTTTCCGAAAGGTGATGAAAGGGGGTGATGGTGCTTTGATCATGAGGGACGTTGTATTGCCTGAACTGTAAGGCGCACTTCTGCGGAACACGTGAAGTGCTATATATAGTACCCTCTCGGCTATCGCCTGCTTGATTCCACTTCCATCCTCCGTCGTCAGCTGACAATCACCCATCAGCCGTCAAACGTTCGTTCGGATGGGCATGGGCAATTTGAATTTCTGTCATCTGAACTCCTGAGAGTAGTCTGTACCAGTGCTTCCTTTGCTTTTTGACGCCATGAAACCTGAGGGGTGACAGGACAGGTGAGGTTCTAGTGCTCGGTGCACACTCGTCATCGATATGACGACTCTTCCTAGCACAGCAGCAGCAGGAATTGCCTCCCCAGAGTCCTTGTTCGCCGGAATACCATACTTTTTCATGCAAATTTGTCTGTTAAATATATTTGCAAATTTATTTATATATATTCTCTAATTAATTTTATTCATCTATATTGTCCTGCTGTTAGATCTTCTCACGATGCCTAGCCATACCCCGGACGAGAGAGAGCCTCTCTTGCAAAACGGAAATGGAAATGGGCGTCAGGATGAGAGACAGGTCTGTAACCTCATCCAAATAGATCACTCAGCACTGATGAAATTACCTAGCTTCTCGAATTCGGCAAGCAAGATCACTCCAATCCAAGAGTCTGGTCGAAAAGCAAGAAATTAGGAAACACTTTTGTGATTGCGTCTATGTCGAGTCCGTCACGGCTTTTGTTTATTTCGCTCTTCTTGACCTGACATCCGCTAGTCCTCAGCCCTTTGGCTAGTTCAATATTCAGTCCTGGAATCGAGCAAATCGCAGACTCACTTCACTCTTCTCAAGATGGAGTAATCCTGTGTCAGACTGGCTTCGTTGTGATGCTCGGTATCGGACCATTAGTACTCGCGCCGTTATCAGAGACTTTCGGCAGAAAGCGCTTATATTTGATCTGCTTCACCATCTTTACACTGTTGCAAATACCTACCGCTCTGGCCAAAAGCTTGCCGGTGCTCGTTACCTTGCGCACCATCGCAGGTTTCTTTGGTAGTATGTGAGCCACCCTTTGCCACTATGCAGATATTGACACTTATCTAGGCGTTGGCATTGCGAATGGTGGGGGTACAATATCGGACATGTACGAGCCCTCTGAACGTGCACAGATCTTTGGAATCTATTTACTTGGCCCCCTCCTTGGACCATCGATTGGCCCCCTTCTCGGTGCTGTTATCCTGGCAAACCTGGACTGGCCATGGATGTTCTGGTTCCTCTTCATCATCTGCTCCATCGCAGTCTTCGGCGCCTTCTTCTTCCTGCGTGAGACCTACGTTCCCACTATCCTAGCCAAGCGCAAACAAGAACTCGAGGCTTCCGAAGACGTAAAATATTACTACGAAGGCGAGGACAACCGCCCCCTCGGCATCAAGCTCACCCAGTCTATCAAGCGACCCCTCTTCATCCTCTTCACCCAGCCGATCGTCATGACAATGGCCGCCTACCAAGCCCTAATATTCGCCATCACCTACAGCCTGTACACGAAATTCCAGTCCATCTGGGGAAGCATCTACGGCTTCAGCACCCTTCAAGTTGGCCTCACGTACCTGGGTCCCGGCCTCGGATTCCTCTTCGCGGTAGTGACCATCGTCCCTCGCATCGGAGCCATCTACAACTCTCTCACGAGAAAGCACAACAATATCGCCAAACCCGAGTACCGGCTCCCGCTCGCCAACATCGGGTCCGTCCTTATCCCCCTCTCCCTCTTCGCATTTGCCTGGACCACGCAGTACCATGCCCACTTTGCGTTCCCACTTCTCGCGACCTTCTTCTACGGCATCGGCCAGGTGGCCGTCTTCAACGCCGTGCAGAACTACTACATCGACGCGTTTGAGAAGTACGCCGCTAGTGCCATTGCGGCCGGCTCGCTGTTCCGGAGCGTCGTGGGAGGCGTGGTGCCGGTGTTCACGGGCAGCTTGCTGGATAAGTATGGGCTCGGCTGGGGATTCAGCATTTTTGGGCTCGTCGGTGTGGCGTTGGCGCCGAGTCCCGTGTTGTTTTATATCTATGGGGAGAGGTTGAGAAAGAGGTTTGCCATTGAGCTGGATTAGACGAATAGACGGCGATGCAGACTGGCGAATGAGAGTTATGCGACAGCGTGTCTTGCGATATAGAGATTCAGACAGATAGATCAATAGAGAGACGGAGATTGGTCATGCTGACAATGTTTTGGCTAGAATAGAAATAGCGGGATGGAATCCTTCCTCTGAGCCATGATAGAAGAGTTGATTGAGACTTGGAAGCTTGGAAAGCGAGGTAAGCGTTTTACGACAGGTAATAAGACGAATAAATAGCGTGTCTATTTGCACCAGATCTTAGGTTGCATCCCCATGTCGTGACCGATATAAACCACGTGATATAAAGTGAACACAAATCTCCTGCACCGATTCTTCTCAAACCTTTAAAAATCGCAGCACCTCCAAACTTTGATCTCTCTGTCTCTTTCTTCGCCCCCGTCATCCCAACCGCTGCAATGTTCGCTAGAGAAATGTTCGGTCCACGAGAAGAACGTCTGAGGTTTCGATCTTGCTTCCTGATTTCCGGCCACTGTCCTTGTGTGTTCATGTGTTTGCGCGGCAGACTCTCCCTGTTCAGCGCATCGCCCCCCAACGATAGGTACAGTTAAGTCTGTCGGAAGCACCTTACTCCTTCGTGCAGAGCCCCTCTCTATCTCCCGGCCATAGTTCCGGAGTAGTTCACCTCGCTATTCACGGCAATCGATTTCGAGGACAGCGGGAGCTGTTCAGGTTTCGGAACCGCTTCCTTTCTTCAGAATAGGGGGACTGTACCTGGTTCGGATGGATACCGGAAACCGTGCCTGGGATCACGTGTTTGTTTCTTTCTTTCCTATCTCTTTGGCAGAAAATCCTCGTCTGAGGTCTGCTGCGGATGCGTTCGGGCTCGTGGCAAAATGCCCTACATGCATCATCACCGACTCTTGACAGGCAAGCCAGTCACCACGCCACAAGCGATACGACTGGCGAAGCTGCCTCCTTTCCAGCCCCAGCAGTCCGCCAGACTTCCAAGCTGGAGTCAACCCTTCACCCACAGCCCCCGCCAAATACCAGGTGCTATGTCACATAGTCCTGAACCGTTTCAAGCCCTTCACCCGGATCTTCTCTTCAAAAAGGTACCTGAGATCGCTAGCACACTGTTTCTGAATCTCATACATCTCCTCTCGCGTTGCCAGGAGAAGATAGTACGCGGCGAACCCTTGGTAAGTGAAGTACGTTCTGTACTCGCAGAATTCTGATTCGCCTTGGATGGGGAGCACTTCCTGGACGCGCTCAGACACCAAGAGCCATTTTGGGTAGAGGGTTGTGATCTCCGAGATGATTCTCCGCTCGCGATCCAGAGCGGTCAATCGTACGGGAATCGTCCTTGATACCGAGTCATCTACTGTCAACTGCTCTCAGTCAGCTGCTGCGCGTGGGCTGCAAAGCACACTACTGCTCTTATCTGAACATATACCCAAGGATAATGTCAATTGAAGAGTTTTTTTGGGGGGGTTTTTTTGGTTTTTTGGACAAGGATAGCCTACCCGTAAAGTACCAGGACACCCAGGCACAGGCAAGCCATCGGCATCGGTCTCCCTCCACTTGTAGTCGGTGTACGGGGACCAGGTCGGATAGGCATCGAAATCCAGCACCGCCGCAAAGACCTCGTCTGGATTTCCTCGGATCTTTTCGTTGGCGAAAGAAGTGAAGACGGCCGACTCTCGGGGTATCGTGGAGGTGGGTATGACGTCCTCGAAGAGTTTGGAGTCTCGGACGACGGAGATGATCGTCATGATGAACATCATCAGCGCTGTGAGGCCGAACGCCAGAGCGACGCAGCCCCAGATGATGGCAATGGGCATCGCGAAGAGGGATTATGAAAGAGAGAGGATAAGAGAGAGAAGGTCAAAGAGCGAAAGTAAGGCAGAGGTATATATATATATACATATATATATGGTATATACGGTACATATACATTAGACCAGGTGAACGTGACGTGGCGATAATATGCACGGTCATGACGGAAAGATAGGTAGACAAATTACGTACTTGGCTGTCCATCCTTCCTGGTGGCTTTTTTTTCTTTTTTTCTTTTTCTTTTGTTTTTTATCCTCGGATCCGGAAAGACGGGATGAGGCTGACGGATGAGGCTGACGGACAATGCTGGGGCGGACCCTCCAAATGGCCGAGTATGGGATATTTGGCTGGCAGGGGATGGGGGATGGGGGATGGGCAGATGGGCAGATGGGCAGATGGGCAAGGGCACCATTTTCTGATCGAGGCAGACAAATACATAAATATCAATACATAGGTATATGTAAGTACAGATCAATTGATCCATCCACTCCCATAATAGTGGTTGATGATTCTCTTCTTCCATAAAACGCCGGCATCAGATTCATCCTTCTATCCGTAAATTACTCAAATTACCTACCGGTACTCGACTGACCCCCACACCCACCTACCCACCTACCCACCCACAAGGGGACTTTCTGCCCGGCCTCTTCTCGCGACAAGCAAAGCGCTCCCACTCTCTCTTCCTCGCTTTTTTAACATCAAGAGCAACATCCACATCCATATCAACATCAACATCCCCTTCGACGAACCTCTCACCCATTTCCCATTCCCAATTCCAACGAAACACTACCATCAAACCCATTCGTAGCCAAGCTCTGTACGGCTCGCCGCTCCGATTAGCCGTCGCCTTGTTCACTCTCCATCTTTCCGCGACAAATCCGCACAGCTTCGGCGCATCGCGTCGCATCGCATCGCATCACCGCCACGCAAGACAAGGCAAGGCAAGGATGGATCCCAAGAATCTATCATTGTTCAAGACATACGACAAACCAAGAGGGGAGGGCGGGTCGAGCTCCTTTGCCACTTTCATGATCATTGGCCGTGAGCGCGCTCCAAAATCCTACCAAGTAATGACCCTCGGACTGACGCGTGCACAGCGGTATGCTTCTTCCTAGGCATGCTCTTCTCCTCCTTCCCCTACGACTACCCCCTCCTATGGACGTCCGAGGCGACTCCGGCCGAATACTACGACCAGCTGGAGATCCATCTCAGGTTCCTGCACGCCTCGCCCCCTATCATCGCGCGCATCCTCCACATCGCAATCACCGTCGGCTTCGTGGGCTTCTTCATTAAGCTCTTCAAGCCTTCCGAGGCCAACCTCCTCTTCGATGGCTCGTCCATGGTCCTCTACCTCATCGCCGTCGTCATCTACATCACCAACATCGTCAAGGGCCTCCGCATTGTGACTTTGGGCCTCTACGGCATGACGGAAGGCGACACGGAACTCGCCATCGGCAGAGAGGATAGCTTGAGGGTCCTCGCGGCTAGCAATACCATTCTGGCGCTGGTGCTGGTCGGGGTCCTGGTCCTGCAAGCTGGTCAGTGGTACGCCGAGCGCAAGGACCTCGACGAGGCTATCAAGTTCGAGAAGGAGCAGGAGGAGAAGAACGCTGCGAGGAGTCCCAAGGTCGGGACCCATGCCACCAAGGCGGCGTCGAAGAAGAAGCAATGAGATGCTTGTGCGTGGGCGAGGTGTTAGGATGTACGAGGTGTAATTATTCCCGGATGGGTGTCATTTACATGAAGCGGAAAATCCTCCATGTTCCATTTCAAATCTAAAAGTCTCTTCGTCGTGTCTTCTTGATTCAAATTATTGCATTCCTTCTTCCTTCCTTGCCTGATGCTCTGGTCTACATCTGTTCTGTGTCATCCGCAACATCAAGAATTCCTGGTCCCCGGGACTTCTTCCTGGAACCCGGGATCGAAGCCACCAAGAAGAGACTCTCGTCAACGATAGCGAAGCATGATCCCTCCCTTGGCTCATGCTTCACGTCCATGCATGCATCTGACCCGCGTCTCCAGAAGGGCTGCGTGCGAACGAAGCCCGAAAAGCACGAGGAGAGACTTTGGCTCCCGCTGAAATGTGGATGGAAAGGAAAAACCAAACAGCATTTACGCTAGGCAACTCTAAATCCCCCCCCCCCCCCCGCGAGAAAGGGCGAAGAGAGACTTTCGCTTGCGTTTTGACTTTGCAGAAGTCGAGGCGGCGGAGCGAGCTCGTGATGGATGGCGCTCTTTCCTTCTTGGGAGCTTGGTGTACTGCTCTCCCTGTACATATAGGTGTATATGTATATGTATATGTATATGTATATATAGATTTCGATTTCTTCTTCTGCTTGAGGCAGGACATCTGTCATTATAAGGTCCATAACCA